AATCACTTGAATCGAACTAAAAAAATGTCAGGGATTACGCAACAAAAATAAAAAAAGGTTCTTTGATGACATATTTTACTATAATGAAATTAAAACTACTTACAAACTTAACAGCTGAGAGAAGTTATAAAAGAATCTCTCGGGCACAGACTGAATGCAATTGTGTGACAAGTCCCTGAAAATATATATATTAGTAATGAATATATTATCATGCATTAGGAAGGGGGCTACGCAATAATTATTTGAGGAGGGAGGGGTTGAGAAATGAGTGAAAAGAGGAGACAAATTAATTCCCCCTCCCCCCTTACACAACCCTAAAAGTCAGAGGAATCTCGAATGAAAATCCTTTTCAAATTTTATTTCATTCTCCCTGACTCTTTCATTTGTCAATCATCATGTTCGTCGATCAGTTTTCACTTTCTCAAATAAATATCTAAGAGCAGAGAACTCCAGAGTAAAAGAAGGGGAGAGTGGACAAAAATCACTTCCATATCTTATTTCCCTTGGTTTGTATATAGCTATTTCAAAAAAGGTTGTCGGATAAAATGGCGAATGTCAATGGTCGAACGGCGATTGCACGACCGAAAGTAATAATAATAATAATAATGATGCTATTTATATAGCGCTTATCCAATTCTGTTCTAAGCGCTTTAAAACTACATAAAAACTACAAAACACATGAGAGTCTTGGTAGTAGCCATGGGTTTTGCTAGTTGAAAGGCAATAACAACTGATTTGTACTGTAAGATGGTCTGTGGTAAACATTGGCTCCATTAAGTCACCATTTCTATAGAAGGTCAATCCAATAAGTGAAATTTTGTTTATCAAAACACATAATCATAGCCATAATCTCTTTCGATCGTGCAATCTCCCTTCGACAATCGCCGTTCGCCGTTCTCCCCGACAACGTTTATTGAAATAGCTGTATATTCCTAAGTAGTATTCACTTATTAAAAATATCAGATGCTCCTAGCTGTATTACGTGCAGCGAAAATCCTTGTAATTTTGATGCTCGTTTGGATATTGGGTTAAAGATAAATCAACTTAAAGTTAATTACAGAATATGTGGACCRCGCGACACAAGGGAATACATGAAATAGAAATTGTAGAAATTTTTAGCCTTTYCTGATTTGGTGTAGAAAAACCCAAAATCAAGCAAACGAATTTCAAGGGTTGCGATAAAAGGGATTACTATGCTGTCAAGTGACACTGAGGAATAACACTTGCTAGTTTCGTTGAGCGAGTCATGCATTTTTCACTTTTTTTTTTACCTTTTGACTTCGGCCCAAGCCATGAATTTGCTTCAGATATAGTGGAAATGCGAAATTTATGCATCGTGAAATCATAATCAGTTGTGAAACAGCTAAGAATGTTCCATTCGATTTATGGCAAGATTGTTGAATGTGATTAGAAATACAGAGTGAAAACGTTAGGTTTGTGGTTGTGGAATACTTACAAATGGACAATGCTCCTTTCATCCAGCAAGTTTGGCAGATYCAAGATGTCATGTAATCGGCAAAAGGCATTTCCCTGTGTAACATTACAAAGTGTATCGGCACCAATAYTACAGCTGTTGCTTTTCGTTTCCACAAAGTTAGCTCCGATAAAAAACAAGTAGTATACCAATAAAAAGTAAAATGGTGAGGAAGATAGAAATTTTCTCTCGAGAATATTCATCTTTTCTGTGAAAGTGAAAGTGGAAAAACGGACAAACATGATACCGAAAAGAACGATTTCATATATCCTTGAAAGGATAAGRACTCTTAATGTCATAGCACGAACAGATAATACACCTGCCAACTTCATTTGAGTTCATGTTACAGCAACACTTACACTAACACTTATTCGCCACTTTCAATGACATTTTGGAAATGCGACATTTTGAAAACGTCCTTGATATGATGATCGATGATAAGTCACTATTTCACAAGAAAAAAACCAATTGCGTGTACACTCTGTAATCATTTAGATAAGAGCACCTAGAGTGGAGCACTTCTTCAGGAGGAGCGGACGGGTTAATGGGAGAAATATATCTGTTCTTATGTCCCAGCCAGCTGTAAGTCACAACTGGTTGCCAGCGAGAAATTCAGAAAGAAAGAAATCTCCAGGCAAGCAATACTTTCTAAGAATTTTTTCAAGGAAAATGAAAATTTCCTAAATAAAAAAATAAAAGCCTTTTTTTGACCATAAAAACGTTATATAAGCCTTTTTGACCTTAAAACGTTTGCCAGGAATAAAATTATTTTAAAGAAAGAAGGGCGCCACCTTTTCTTGTGTAGCTTAAAATCCCTTTCCCAGGAAAAAAATCGTACAAGAACAGTTATTTAGAAGAACAGAATCCGTCGGCTCCTCCTGCTTCTTTTTGTTAAACAATTGTTGTGATCTCTCGTTCTAGAATTTCCTGCGATGAMWGGATCATATACTTTTTTTATCGGAAATGATGGTATTACAAAGCCTCGGGACTTCAACTGATTATTATTATATCTGCCCTCGGCTTTGGGGACATTTA